TTTGCATATTTTAGGAAATTATTCAGAATGCAGATGATGCAGGGGCCTCGAAGGTATCCTTCCTCCTTGATTCGCGCCCAAGCTTCTACGGAAGGGACTCTTTGTACGAGCCCAGCCTTGCTCAGTTCCAGGGTCCTGCGTTATATGCACAAAACAATGCTCTCTTTGAGGAAGGTGACTGGGAAAACCTGGAAAGGCTAATGAGAAGCAGTAAGAAAGATGACCCGTTAAAAGTGGGCCGATTTGGCATAGGCTTTAACTCTGTTTATCACATGACGGGTGAGTTCTTGAAAAGGTAACTGATAAATGATTGATTAAGTGCGTGTGGGAAAAAATTCAGATGCAACTCGGATTCTACCCAGAAGGTTTTAACAAATTAAAAGAAGGTCCTGCTACTGAATAAAATCAAGTTACACTTGGGCAACACGTTTTGGTTTCCTGGAGTTTTAGGAAATGTAGCTTACGGGGAACCGCTGCTTATTGTCCAGTCAGAAAGTTGTCAAATAAGCAGGTTGCACACATTTTCGGTCATTGCGTCTTGACAACGTGTTTACCGCCCTCGAGACAGGTTTCATGCGAACAGGGCTGAACTACTTATTATCCATCCCTGAATCTCTCGGTACTAAAAAGTTGCCCCTGTTGCATATGATACGAATACGTTCAGGTCCAAATAGAAATAAGAAAAATTAGCCGTTGTGGTTCACGTTCTCCAGACAACGCAGAATTTGGTCATTTCACGTTGTTGTTTTGCAAAGGACGACAAAGAAGTGTACCAAGAGTTATAATGCACGTGCACAGCCATTGTTTTGCTCATTAAACCTTCTGTTTGGTGAAGTTCTCGTTGCCGTTGCCGTCCTGTTTTGCGTAAGGTCCCTATTGTACACTATGACGTCGCATTTACTGAATTTTTTGGCACTGAGATGCTTGATTTGTAAGACGGCAGCAGAAGCCGCANGGTGAGTTCTTGAAAAGGTAACTGATAAATGATTGATTAACGGCGTGTGGGAAAAAATTCAGATGCAAATTGGATTCTACCCAGAAGGTTTTAATCAATTAAAAGAAGGTCCTACTACTGAATAAAATCAAGTTACATTTGGGCAACACGTTTTGGTTTCCTAGAGTTTTAGGACATGTAGCTTACGGGGAACCGGTGCTTATTGTCCTGTCAGAAAGACGTCAAATAAGCAGGTTGCACACATGTTCGGTCATTGCTCTTGACAACGTGTTTACCGCCCTCGAGACAGGTTTCATGCGAACAGGGCTGAATTACTTATTATCCATCCCTGAATTGTGCACTGAACATGTTTCTTGGTAAATGCATGCGTTAATTATTACAATTAGTATAGACTGGGGGGTATGGATCGGTACAATTAGGAGTGGCTCAAATTCCTAAAGATATATTTTTAAAGGAAATCCTTGGCCCAACTGCCACATGGTGATGATATTAGGGAGCTTACGCATATACGACGGCGACTGCGAGGCCGACGCCTAGTAAAAAAATTTGTTTCTATTGTACTGTGAAATTTCGCATTTATTTGAAACTATTCAGTGTGTCTGTCGGTATTAAAACTTGCCCCTGTTGCATTTGATACGAATGCGTTCAGGTCCAAATAGAAATACGAAAAATTAGCCGTTGTGGTTCACGTTCTCCAGACAACGCAGAATTTAGTCATTTAACGTTGTTGTTTTGCAAAGGACGACAAAGAAATGTACCAAGAATTATAATGCACGTGCACAGCCATTGTTTTGCTCATTAAACCTTCTGTTTGGTGACGTTCTCGTTGCCGTTGCCGTCCTGTTTTGCGTAAGGTCCCTATTGTACACTATGACGTCGCATTTACTGAATTTTTTGGCACTGAGATGCTTGATTTGTAAGACGGCAGCAGAAGCCGCAAACACTGAACACGCCAGCTTTTTAATGTACCTGTTAAT